GTGCTAATAAAATGCAGGACTCCGGACTTAGCCGATGAGGGCAGTTTATTCATGGCCTGAGCCGTCTATTGAAGGTGCTCATTTTGCCATTATTCCCCTCCAGACCCCCACCACCATAAGCATTAAAGAAAATGCCAACAGCTTGCTTTATGGTTTTTGAATAAGATTATATGTATATCATGGACCGGTTTCCACATAAATATTAACCAGCGCAACTGTTTTAAATAATAAGAAATGTTACAAATCAGCATGTGAAAATGATTTCTGATGGATCATGTGGCACTGAAGGCTATAATGACATCACAGGAATAAAATACATTTTAAAATACATTAAAATAGAAAATAGCTATTTTAAATTGTAATAATATAACTGTTTTGACTTTTTGATCAGCCTTGGTGAGACTCAAAAGCATTAACATTCTTAATAACCCCAAACGTATGAATGATATTTTATATATGAGATGTAGAATAATGTTCATAGAAATTAAGTTGCATGAAACAAAACCCGCCCGTTATTCCACAGTGTAGGAGTCCTTCCGTCAGATTAGTTTAAATGTGCTTATCTTAGGTTGTTTACCACCATCTGATTGTGAATCCAGATTTGTTTGTAAGCCACTGTAACTAGAGGCTTTGACAGATTATGAGAACATCATTAGACAAGATTACAGGAGATTATAAACACTAGAGTGTGTTCATACCACCCAGGATGCCCTCCGAAACCTCAGCTCCTGGAGAACAATACAAATATACTCAAGAGACCACACACCAACCTCAAACCCAAACTTCCACGATCACCTGCACCTCTACGAGAACAAGAGCAATGATTAACCAGACAGTTCATTTGCTTTTTTAAGACAGATAATGTGTAAATACAGCTTTAATATAACACGAGAGAAGACTAAACTGTATTATTATGGGCACTGTGTAATCATAAGAGTAGAATTAAAAGGCAAAATAAGAGAAAACCTTTCATGCATTGAAAATATCGCAGGAAGCTCATTGCCCTGTGACAAGCACCCAGGGTATTCATAATAGGGGATCCCAAGGTGCTCTTTATCAGGACTCTCCAAATGGTTGGGAAAGAGATAAGGCCTGAGGCACATGTAAGCCAGCGTTCATTCTCTACGCCTGCAGCCTCTTGTGACACAGTCTTGTATGTAATCTCTTGTAGTACACGCTCAACTGAGAGCACATCAATGGGGTTCTTTATCCAAAACACACAGTTATCAGCAAATTAGTCACATCACTAAATGTCAAAAGACATCTTACCAAGTGCCACAGATGAAGACGTGTGGAGAAAAACGCATGGAAACTGCAGTACAGATGAGATCCAATGTGTCATTTTATGAGATGTTTGCAGGAGTAAAAAAAAAAAAAAAAAAAAACAGAGTTGTGCAACATTCAGAACGGAAAAATATAAAGTGACTTGCTTTCAGTTTATGAGCCAGGATTTAAATTTAATTTAAAAGGCCACACTCCACAGGAAGTTGAACTGCAAAAACAGGAGGAGGAATTTACTGCATTGCAATTTAAAGAAATTCCACACAGGTAATGCATTCTGGGAAATGAAGTTCCACCCTAGTCCACAAAAGTTTAGCCATTATATATGATATAAACTGAACACAAATATCTAGGTGCAATTTTATCTATCTTTTTTGTTAAGTTTTTATGTTTCCTTTTTTGGTTTGTTTAAATTTCAGAACTTTCAATCAAGGCAATATTAGTTAAAATGAAAAATTTGCAGTTAGAGTAATACAATTCATTTTAATTCTACTTCCTTACATTCAAATTCAAACTACAAATCTGCACCCTGTTTGCAGCTCAATACAATTTGCAGTGATATGAATTTCTTTAAATTTCAATTCATTTGAATTCTACTTCCTTACATTCAAATTCAAGCTACAATTCTGCATCCTGTTTGCAGCTCAATCAAATTTGCAGTGAATTATATGAATTTCAGTTCATTTTAATTCTGCTTCCTTGCATTCAAATTCAAATGACAATTCTGCCTCATGTTTGCAGCTCAATACCATTTCCTGTTATATGAATTTATTTGAATTGTAATTTAATTTAATTCTATCCTTACATTCAAATAACAATTCTGCTCCCTGTTTGCAGCACAATAAAATGTGCACCTCTATGAATTTATTTAAATTTCAATTAATTTTAATTCTACTTCTTTATATTCAAATTACAGTTCTGTATCCTGTTTGCAGCTCAATTTAAATTCAGGAATTCAAAAGGCATTTATGATTTGTGCACCAAAAACTGGTGATATGCATGTCTTCTCAGATAAAGGCTGTGGAAAGCAACTGCTATTTCTCAACTAATTAACCTCACTTCCAACAAGTGTCTGATGGGAGAGCAGCAGTGGCCTGGGATCATGTGGCCAGCTGCAGCCCCAGCACTGTTCCTGGAGCAGTGCAGTCACAGCACTACATCAGCAGGCACTCAGCAGATGCTAAGATATCTCCCCTGAGGAACACACACCATGTTCACCACACCTGGACCATGCTGATGGATCATAATTCTACCCAGATCAGAAGAACGAGCAAGCCAGCAGAACCAGGTCTTTCCTGCCTATGACTGGTCCACCTGCTATGCCTCCTCATCTTGCTCAAATACACCGTATAAAGGATTTAAGGATGTTATATGCAATTTGTCCATAATAAAATCTACAATGGAGTAAAAATGGAATGGTTATTGTTTAATTAGGAATTGGTTTAACTGTGTCAGCTTAGGCCCATTCATACTTAATATTAAAATATACAAAACCTTTATTATTTGATTTATTATTTTTAATTTAGTGTTGTAAATCAATATTGTTCAAAATCATTTACTTTCACTAATTTTCAGTCGCCATTCAGCATTGTTAGTTCTTTTGTATTAGCTTATTTCATGATGTCCTCATTGGAAATGGCTTTGTACAGTAAGAGAGTTAATGAGCATATTCATGAATGCATTTTAATGTGAAGCAATCAGAGATTAATTATTGCAGATGAGAGTTCATTAAGCTCTCACTCAACAGTAATTTGATACCTTATTGACATCAGGTCATTGGCCTACACATGTAGCCAAATAAAGATAGATTCATTAGTCTGACATGCTGAAATCTTCAGTCCCTGAGCCTAAGATAATAAATAATATGTAATGCAATGAAAACAATATTGATGGTTTTGTAAAACTAAACGAACCGTTGAACGGATATAGAAAATAGGAAAATATATATAGTGAAGTTTTCGTATTGAAAAAGTTCTAAAATTTCTGTTTATTAAATTGGAAAGTCAAAGTCCAGCTGGGTAAACGCCATTTGATAGACGCCATCAAGGAATAAAAGAGAAATTGTATTGAAATGGGGATTGAAAATGGAAAATTGAGCATGTGCTCACAAAGACTGTTCTGTTTTATTTCATTGATACAGCCAATCAAAAGTTAAATAGTTGTAAATTGGTCAAACGCTGGCACGCTTAACTGTTTTTGCCTTTTCTCAATTAGACAAGCTGGCTTGAAGATAATAGCTGAAACAAGTTTGTTCTCAGGTGTGATCATTTACACGTTACGCGTGTAAATTACAAAATTATTCAGGGAATGGAAATGATAATGATAATAAAAAACCGTTTACCGTAACAAAAAAAAAAAATCGAATTCGAAAAACTGTTAAAATGACATTTTTATCACAGAACAGTGACAGTTTTCATTTTGTGGTCACTAGCTAAATCATCAGGCATTTATCTTCTTGTGATGCTTTAAATTACGTATCTTTTCTTTGATTAGTAACATTAATTTTCCAGTTATTTATTCAGTCCAAAGTATTGTATTTCAAACACGATTTATGAGCACACATCCAAGTGCATGAGGTAGATTAAGTCACTTTTGTCAATTCGATCACGTGTAAAACGCTGAACAGCTAAAGGCTGTCCTTGTGTGTGTGGCTATATATATATATATATATATATATATCTTTTTTTAAGATAAATAACAGTTTTAAACTATTTCGTTTATTTGGCAGCTATGGACCGCTAATGTTGTAATCTAAGTTGTGCATCAAAATCTAAATAAATAAATGTGTAAAAAGAGTAAGTGCGTGCAAATTATATTTAGAATGTTTCAAAATGAATAAATTTAACCTAATAAATATAAATGTAACCTAATAGGTAATGCTGCATCGCTTCCAAAAAGTGACTCATTTGGGTTGAGTAACCTGTGGAGAAGCACTGGACCTGTTGTCCTTCAAAAATACCAGCTCAAAATATTTTCTGAACTGTACATGGTGCATCATTTCACCTTATAAATAATTTTTTTCTGTTGGTTTGTTGAGAACAAATCGGTTGAGTGATTTCCAATTTCCAAAGAACATGGTGATCTTCGCGATCAGTTGAAGACCCCCAAAAACCGCTTTCTATTTTCAATATCCCGATAGTATATGTGCCATTATGGCCTTTTTGAGATCATTTCTCAATTATCAAAATTTTAGCGAAAATTTGGCAAATTTTAATGTAAGTGCGCAGAGTAATGGCGTCTTTATAATAAAACAATTAGGTAAAATATGTGTTCACACAGAGACAGAGCAATAAAGGAGAGCATGATTATTCATTTAATGAAATTAAAAAAATATATAAATGTGGTAGGGCTGTTAAAAACGAATAATAATAATAATACAAAATATTAAAATGTCTTTGAATAAGCGTTGCCATTTTGATAACTCTTTAATGAGACAACTTCTTACCGAAGCGAAAGACAGTTTCGAAACTAACTGACCAATCATCAGCAATCTTATTTATTAATGCTTGAAAACGTTGTTGCAATTTATTCACAAAATATTAATATTCGATTTAATAATAACAAAAAGAAAAATGTCCCAAACGTTTAACATTTTATTAAATAAAAGTGCAATACACACGAACCTGCAAGACGCATTTTGCAGGATTCAAACACTGTTACAAACTTAAGATATCATAAATTAATCGAACAAAAATTAAAGAAACATCCTAACATCGGGAGACGAACACTATGCATTATATTACAAATATATGGTTAGGTGTTTGTTTATTTACACGTGTTATGGCCAGATCAATTATTTGACTGAGCCTCAATTTAGGCTGTCGCTCAGATGTCTTTTACCATTAGTGGTAAATTCTGAAAATTATTTCCATTGTTGATTATTTTTAAGAATCAAAGGGCTGAGCCAACTTACACCCATAGAAAAAAAAAGAAAGAAAAATAACTCAGGGTGATCAGCACCTAGCATATACAAATTAATGACATGAAAATGCATCACAAAGCTTAAACCAAAAATTAAACTGAAGCGAAATGAACGAATTCTGCCATGTTTACTATTCAAAATATTTTACACATAAATATTCACAGTAATATAATTCCTATGCGATACAACTCACGCCGTTAATTTACAACAAAGTACCGTTGTCTTTACGTTGAAACGTGTCTATTGCAGACACTGATGCACGTTCAGCTTCACCAGTAGTGCATATTCCTCTGATTTTCATCATTCCTCTCAAACCAGAGCTCAAACTTGGTGAAAAACAGTAGCCTACATAATATTTTGACACTTCTTGAAGAATTTGACAACCCATGTCCCGTTTCCATTTTACGAGCTCTCGTTTTCCGACGTGTGAATGATAAGAGCTGAGTTTGGTTTGTGTTTTTTCAGTAACTGCGTTATTTTTTCATCGTCCGAGTTTGGATCTAAAGGTTTGTTGTAGTCGTCGTCGTCGTCTTCATTTTCCGAAGCCCCTTTCAGCCTTTCGGTCTCTGAATCTTGTTTTTTCTTCGCCGTGGCCATTTCAGCCGCGTGCCGTTTTCTCCATTTTGTTCTTCGGTTTTGAAACCACACCTTCACAATAAACATGAGATAAAACGTATTTGAATCCACACAGAAATAGTGATTTATCTCCATCGAAAAGTAGGCATAGCAAATGGGAATTATAACAAAAAATTCGCTCAGAGACATTTAACAATGTCAAGCAAATTAAACAGATTTGTCCTGTCTAATAATAATTTGAAAGAACTGATATAAAACATAACTCGAAGAGATAGCTCTTCAAAATATCTGTAATATAAGCACCTTCAGTCTGTGAGAATAAATAAAATGCTGAAACACGTTTAAAATATTTTAACAAATAAAAATAGAACAAGTTTCAGTGGCTTTTAAACTGCAATTCAATTTTCTTGCAATAATTACAATAAACAATTGCAGCGGTGCATAGGCTACTGCAATTTTTAAACTTTAATGCGTACATACATTTGATATGAATGAAAATAATACATTTTGGTAGCCTATTGTACTCCACTAGGTCGGTGCATTAAATGTAAATAATTTGCTGTAGAGAAATAAATAGATGTAGGCTATAGCCTATATAAATGTTGTAAGCTAAATAAAAGAGATATAGGAAGGTCTGAATAAACACATTTTGCTACATCTAGGCTAATTCTCTTTTTACGTTCCATGGATTAATGATAACAAACAATCGAGTCAGTCAAGGTTTTTCCTTGTCATACATAAACTATTAGGACTGTCCTACCTTGACTTGGCTCTCTGTCATTCCTAAAGAGTAGGCCAACCGCGCTCTCTCAGGTCCAGCTAAATATTTCGTTTGCTCAAATGTTTTTTCCAGGGCAAAAATTTGCTGCCCGGAAAACGTTGGTCGCGTGTGTTTCCTTTTCCCATCTTTGTCCAGGAGCACTGAGTTTTGATCTGTCAGGGGCGAGATAGAAAATTCACCCAATGTTATTATTACATCCTATTATGTTAGTTAAATTTGTGCTTATTGTAATATTTCGGATCGCTAACAGCCTTCAAGAAAGTTAATCGTGCACTTACGTGGGGAACATGCAAATCTGGCGTCTCTCCAGTGTGGGCTTTGCATAACTCCAGGCCAGAATATGGGGGTTCTGCCTGGAAGGTCTGTCAGAGGTTTCGGATAACGTGCCACCGCCACGGCCGCGGCGCTGGGGCTGAAATACAGCCCTGGATGCGGCGGAGGGCTCAGGCTGCTGAAGCGGGGCAGTCCAGTCAAGATTCCAGCGGGAGAAGATGCCGCCGCTCCGGTGACCAACACCGGACTGCGACTGAGGATGTCGTTTATTCCGTGAGGTGTAGCGATTGGGCACTGCTGATGTGATCCGAGAGTCGAAAGTCCGGTGGATGTTTTGATCCCCGGGGACGAGACCGGGATACCGCCTGGATTCGGAGAGGTAGCTGTCGGTGAAGTGGAGCATGCTGGTCCAGTGGAAGATAACGGGTAGGCTGGGTAAAGTGGTGTCTTCATTTCGGTCATGCTGTGTAAAGCAGCCAAAGGTGGGGTATTGAGTAGGAAAGCGCTCTGGCGAGACCCGTCCATTTGCCCCACCGCTAACATTACCAAGAAACTACAACTTTAACGAAATACTGCGCAAGAAGCAAGACGGTGGAGACCCGCGCCAAATGTAAAATAGTGAATGAGAGAGAGAAAGCGGAAAAAAAACAAAAACAAAAAAATACTCAAGCCTTCAGAAAAAAAGAATCTTTTCTCTAAAAAATCCCAATCAGTTGCACCGAAGCTTCATAGCCATGTCCTCTGGCAAAATCCATTCCCTTCTTTCAGTTCTTGCAAATATTGCATGATACAACAGAGTTGCGTCCTTCAATTGAGTGTTTTTGAAATCTATAAATAAAAAGAGAGTCTTTCTGGGTAGTTCACATGAAGATCTGGAAGATAATAAAACATTTTCATCAACCTGCTGTCTTTTGCTGCAAAAAGTCAAAACTTTGAGAGCGTGCCTGGGAAAGTGGAGGGGCTCGGTGGGATGTGATTGGCTAAGGGCGGCAGTGACGTGGCCCGTGTCAGCTGAGTGTCTGAACTGAATTTAGGAGTCTGTCCTCATTGGTTCTCATTTGCACATTAAAAGAGCTGCCATCCGTCCCGCTATTAAATACAAAAAGGGGACAAAATCAATCTAGTCAATCTGTGATCTATTTCTTAAATAAAGGGACGTCTGCATGCGTGCCGGTCATGTGAGGCAGTGGGATATCTCATGAGCTTAAACGTCCCTATGGACAGGGCTTAAACACTCCACAGATAAATCGCAATACAATCACAGAATGATGAAGCTTGAATAAACACTATCATTTTACTTCAACGTTGAGCTGTAAGGTAAATGTGTTTCCTACCTCCTCATAAAAAACCTTTTCTGCCACTTTTCTCACATGTATTGGTTTTTGTATTATTTGGTTTCATCTGAAGAAACTAAATGCCAGTTGAATACATGTGAAACATTAGAAACTCACAGCTGCAGTCTTAAAGCTTCTGTGTTTCTACCTCTGTACATATGCCAGCCACAGAAGGCTATTGCCTATCTACAGTGTATCAAGAAATGTGGACTACCTCATTTACAAAACACAATAAGCATTCATCACTTTAGTTCATTAAAAAAAGAGGCTGATTTGGAGTTTTTTTTTTTATAATATTTTGCAACACAATCAAATGTGAAGTTTTTTTGTCATAGCGTATTCTTTTTTCTATAATAAAACCAATAATGCCAAAAGTCAAATGCAAAGTGCAACGTGTTGCAGCACCTAGTGGTCAAAAAGTGAAATAGCATATAATAGGATGTGGCACCTATGCCTCCTGTTGCATTAAAAATTCCTTAATTCATGTTAACAGTTATGAAATATATATATATATATATATATATGCCTATACACACACACACATTTTATCCATACAAATGTGATTAATAGTTACAAACACTATTAGTTACAAACATTTAGACTATATATTATTATTAGATTACTAAATTCCATTAGGAGTATAAATAAACCCAGAAACAGCAAAAAATATGCAAGATGAGCAGATTCACAGTGCTATATTGCCCTCTACTGGTGAATCTAGCACTTTATCCTGTGATCAGAATCTTCTTTTAGTCGATTTATGGGATAGAGCTTTCTCAGTGGTTGGGCGCTGTTATGGAATAACCTCCCTTTAGAGATTAGACTTGCCCCTTCTCTGTCCACTTTTAAATCTCTCCTAAAACATGTTTTCTTTGGCTTATAATTTTCTATTATGGTCTTTGCTTAGTCTTCTAAGGGTTTATACTTTGTTTCTCGTGTTATTAACATATTTACTTATTTTATTATTGGGGCAAGACCCTGTTTTAATGGTTTAGTTGTGCTGATTTTTTAATGTTTTTACTATTTTTGAATTTCTGTACAGCACTTTGGTCAGCCGTGTGGCTGTTTTAAATGTGCTATATAAATAAATTGAAACTTTATCCTCTGGAACTAAAATGCTTGGAGGTGCAAATAAGACCAAATCAGTTTGAGCCAAAGTTTAATCTTATTAACATATTTACTTATTTTATTATTGGGGCAAGACCGTTTTAATGGTTTAGTTGTGCTGATTTTTGAATGTTTTTACTATTTTTGAATTTCTGTACAGCACTTTGGTCAGCCATGTGGCTGTTTTAAATGTGCTATATAAATAAATTGAAACTTTATCCTCTGGAACTAAAATGCTTGGAGGTGCAAATAAGACCAAATCAGTTTGAGCCAAAGTTTAATCACCCAAGCTCCTAAAAAATTGTGTATGCATAAATATTTCCTATACATATATACCTCTACATAAACTGTGTATATATATATATATATATATATGAATGAATGAATGAATATGAGAGAGAGAGATAGTGAATCTTTATTTTATCGTACATATATAATGTATATGTGGTTGACTTTGCTGTTGGCATATTTTGTGTCAGCATATTTAATTGGACAAGAAATGATCTAAGTGAAGTAAAAGCTACTTAATAGATTTATCAGAGCCCGCTCAAAAGACCTCAATGATAGAGATTCATCATAAATGCTGTAAAGAGTCTGTTTTTAACCAAATAAAGCTAAAGGTTTTAAGTACTGCACTGCTCTTTACACCAAACAGTAAATAGATCAGATTATTCAAATTTTTCCTCTTTTAAACGACAGTAATCAAATCACAAGCTTGTGTCATCATTAAGCCAAGTCAATAAATAAAATCACAAAAAAAAGGAAGTCATTTTCTAGTATGAATGTTGGACTTTATTTACATTTACTCCCGAGACATAAGTTTCTGCTTCTTCAGTTTCTTCTGAGAAACCTGTGGGGGAAAAAAAAAATTGGTTAAGGAGTGTTCACCAACAGCAGTTACTAAGATATCCAGTCCTCCACACATTTAATGCACAGCGGCTGCTCAGAATATGATTCCTTTCATCATAAATCCAAAGGTGTCCTAAGTGGTCATCACTACAGCCAAGTGTACAGTTTGTATTATTTTTTTTAATTCAGAAAAACATTAATGAACATACCTTTTTCTTCTGAGAAACCTCCTCCTCTGGTTTGGGAACAATCTGCTCCTTCTCAGTGAGGATCATTTCGATGTGGCATGGGGAGCTCATGTAGGGGTTGATGCGTCCGTGCGCACGGTAGGTACGCCTGCGCATCTTTGGGGCCTTGTTCACCTGGATGTGCTCAATCACCAGAGAGTCCACATCCAAACCCTACAAGATCACAAAGTGGGTTAATATAAAGCCCATATGGCAGTGAAAGCTGCATTCATGCAAGCTAGATTTGAAATCATACACTGAAGCAAAGATACAGTCCAATTCTAAAGAGACTTATTCACAGTGTAATGGTTCATACGGTCTTACCTTGAGCTCAGCGTTGCTTTCTGCGTTCTTCAGCATGTGGAGCAGGAACTCAGCACTTTTCTTAGGCCAACGTCCCTGAGTCCAGTCATGCTGCTTGGCCTAAAAATGGAAAACATCACAAGAAAGCTTTGTTATCTTAATTTGAGCTTTACTATCATTCTAATTTGGGGTCAATACATTAAGAAATTAAGTTATTTTCAACACTTAATTATCAAAAGTGTCAGTAACTGCTCAACAGAAAAGGAAAACTAAAGAAAATAGTTCTAAAATGATCTATTCATCAAATAGAGAGAAAAAAAAAAATGGTTTTGCAAATAACACTGATAAATGTTGAACAGGGTTCCCACTCTTTAATGAACACCAAATTCAAGGACTTTCAAGGACTTTTTAAAGCACCATTTATTTTATATCAAGCACCTATCAAATTCACACCCCAGAATATGTAGCGTCATGAAAGACCTTACAGTACTTAACATTTCACGTACACGTAACATTTACATTAAAAATTTCAGAGTAATAATGTTTTGAATGTGTAGGTTTAAAAAATGTAGACCGTTTTGAGCAGTATGAGCATTTTAAACCTTGTACATGTGCAAATCTGTAAAAAAAAAAAATAAAGAAAAGAAAAAGAAAAAAATAGGACTCTATTTGCTTTTAAACTGTAAACGCTTTTCACTAAGCTGTTTTTCCAATTTTTCAAGTTCTACATTTTCTCAAGGATTTTTTACCCAAGAAAAGTCTCTGAGAACCGGACACCTTGTAATTCTGGAGACTCAAGGTTGCAGTTCTGGAAAATAGTGGCACTGGAGACTAAAAGGTTCCTGATGGTTTCACACTTAATTCTTCACATTAATTCTTAATTATTTTGCAGTTAACGTTTGTCTTTTCTTACTCAAGGTTGCAGTTCTGGAAAATAGTGGCACTGGAGACTAAAAGGTTCCTGATGGTTTCACACTTAATTCTTCACATTAATTATTCATTCTTTTGCAGTTAACATGCTCTTTTCTTCTCCACCTGTTTTTTTCTGACCCCGCTTACCCAATGAGCCTTTTGCTGACCAATGGTCATGTCTTAACTTTTAAATTTCTGTATTGCATTAGTTTTTAATATTTCTCATGGGGATTTAATCATTTTTGACTTCTCAGGTTCTCAAGACTCAAAAGCACGTGCAAATGATACGTTCTGTCATCTGTCATCGCGTTATAAGCGCGCAACCTGCGGGAATGAGTAGAATTATTAATAGCCGCAATCCCACGTCAAAATTCAAGTCCTGCTCTGTGTTCTCTGCTAATAAGTTATAACCCGACTGTGAATGATGCGAGCGGCGTCACATATGTTGTCACTGAGAAGCTGGAGCCGTGGCCTGGAATGATTTTTGGTGTGCCGGCAGAACAACAACAACAATGCGCTACATGTTAAAGTGAACAGCGAGCGCTCATTCAAATGCGATTTCAATATTGATAGTGGCTCCCTGATGTGCGAAAATAATATACATTAGAATGTTCGCGGGAGCGGGACACACACGTTGCGGGAGTGGGCGGTAATGGTCAGAAATTCAGCGGGAGCGGGCTTAAGAAAACTGTCCCCAACGCTCTAGGCTGCGCATCAACACACACGCTAAGTTTTTTTCGGCTACCCCATCTCCACCCCCAATCATTAGTGCCGTTTCGCTCTGTCTTTGACAGAACATATAGGACAATTTCTGAAATAGTGCCATAAAAAGGGGTTGAAGAAAAAAAAAATATTTTGACTGAATTTTTCCTCAGCCAAACCCCATTCCACAGCCATAC